TGGCCAAAAAATACTTGTCTGTCCCTGCTACAAGTGCCCCATCAGAGAGGCTTTTCAGTGTGGGAGGGGGAATTGTTACGTGTAACCGGGCATGCCTCAAGCCAGAGGTAGTAGACAGGCTTGTCTTCCTGGCTAAAAATGCATAAAAGAAGAATGTTGAAACTAAAGTAATGGATGCAGACGTTTCATTTTGTTTACAATTTCAGGGATTCAGAACAACTGTTGAAAGTTGTGTTTGCACTTTATGAATACCACTGTTAAAAGTATGTGCTTTTGTAATACATCTAATTTTGTCATTTTTGTTACTTTTATTTGACCAAAAGTGTTTTATCAAAGAGGGACACACAAATTTTATTTATATTTTAAGTTATTTTGAAGGTGCATTGTGTCACTTTAAGTTTGAAGTTATTAGAAAACTGATAAGCTAGCTACATTTTCACGGTTTACAATGGCAGGGCCTGCCATCTCGTTTACAAGCATGTTTTGAGGCTTGTTTCCTGTTACACTTATGCCCCAAGGGGACATTTAGATTAAACTGCATAAGGGAAAATCAGAACAAAATAAAGAGTATATTTGTTTTGAACAATTTCTTTGTCGATTGTAGTTTGTTTTTAAATAGAAATAAAAAAATCGGGTTTGGTGTGAAAAAATCAGAGTTTTTTTTAAAGCCATATCGCCCAGCCCTACTCTGTATGCTTTTGAATCGCACTCGCGGTACTTTGATGTCATACACCAATTGATTTATTAGCCGCTTCAAGTCGAACACACCTTAAATCTGCAATGGTCAGGTGGTACAAGTCGTAGCTCTCAGAAAATTACGAGTTTACACATTGTAATTACAAGTTCTCCGAGAACGTGAAGGCTTTTTACATTTCAGAATCATTACGGTAATAATGCTTGGAGTCAATTGTTTTATTTGGGATAATGCAATAAAACATGCCAAATTGTGCAGACATAATTTGTGGCGAGGCTGTCATACAAATGAGAACCAAATAAATATTAATAACCGATTATGTTGTAAATTTCATAGTAAAATAAAACCAGCAGCTGTATAATTTTGTCAGATAAATACCTTAACTAAGCTTGGTCTTTTGTTCTTCCCTCATATTAAAAAAATATTTTCCTCATATTTTGATGGTTTAACCAAACATGTATGGTCGTTAAAAGCAAATATCGCCTCCAGACATCACTTTTGGCCACTACTCTAGATCATTGTTGCTTTGGTATTTATTTGTTATTTTTCCAAAATATTTTTTTGTATTAATATACTCATATACATTTTGGATTTTCCATTTTCTTTTAGTAAGCAAGTATTTTATTTAGTTAACGTTTATTTCAAGTGCTCAAGTTGTATGGTTTTAGTTAACAATAACATGAACTTGGATTGACTCCAAAACAAGTAAAAGTAACTTTTGCTTCATCAGAACTCATTCCTCTATTATTATTTATCTTTGGTTATTTGCATGTTTGTTCATTTTTAGATTTTCATTTTCATTAATTTTTTGAACGTGGGTCCATGTGCTGGTGTTGGTTTATCTCTCATATCATGTACCGAACTGTCAAAACCTCTATCCTGAGGGTGGCAGTAGCACACAGAGACGAGAAACTGAAGCGTTCATGCGTGTTTGTGAGATAGTGTTCAGAATGAGAGAGAGAGAGAGAGAGAGAGAGAGAGAGAGAGAGAGAGAGAGAGAGAGAGAGAGAGAGAGAGAGAGAGAGAGAGAGAGAGAGAGAGAGAGAGAGAGAGAGAGAGAGAGAGAGAGAGAGAGAGAGAGAGAGAGAATCGAGCGTGTGTTATATGTTACTGGTTTCTTTCTGCAACAGAGAGGAGGGGAGTAAGAGAGAGAAAGAGAGATGTAGCTTAGAGAGCAGGTGTGTGTGTGACACTTCACACTAGAGTCTCATGAATTAAACATATGTGTACAGCCTGAGAGTATGATGTGTGCCTGTGTTCGTGTGTGTGTGTGTGTTTGCTTTTTATAAAATGCTGCGAAGAGCGTTTGGAGACATTCCACTAAAAACTATGTGTGTGTGAATATAAATTGTTGTGCCTTTATGGGGTTAGAATTGTTGCATTATTCCAAATAAGATTCACAAACTAATGTAAAGAGATTCACAAAAAAGTATCAAATTCACAAAAAAGTATCAAATTCACAAAAAAGTATCAAATTCACAAATAAATAAAATGAGATTTGCAAATAAAAAAATTACAAATGTGTTTTATGTCATAAACAACTCTTGCTGGCATTTATTTGTGAATAAATCCTCACGCATCTGTGGATTTTGAAACACTTCTAGCGTCGACGTGCAGACAAATCCACAAATAAGTGGACTCCACCCACCGTTTCCTCAAGCCAATCAGACAACGGGCACATTGAGCTGACCAATCATAGCACGTTCTCGCTACAACCAATCACGTTAGGCTTTACACTCGGGGCGGGAACTGAATCCGATTCATTTTGAAGATATTTGCACCCTTGAAATGGAGCTGTAATCTATGGGCACTTCATTTGAATTGAGCTCTTTGTGTGGTTAAAACACCATTTCCAAAAGATTGTTGGAGTTTAAGGCTTCTTTATATTTCCATCAGGATTACACAAATTATGATCATCACAGATCCCGAGATCATAACACCCTCTCTACACCGGACTCAAGCGGCGCGTCAAAAGCAAATGGCCCATCATCTTCCCTACTGTCATAACATTGCAAACATGTTAGTTTTACATTATTTGAAACTGCTAACACATTTTGCCCATGACGTCATGACGTTTTCTTACCTGCAGATATGATCTGTCTATAATCTTTCTTATTGACTAGTGCTGGCTACCTGAAAATGCATAATTCGTGATAATGTAGGCTATACACTGGACGCGGCGTAGCGCGACACGATTACACGGAGGACACATCATTTGCACTTTTGCTTTGTCCAGAGTAGACAGCTTGCACGGGGTAGACAGACACGATGTAAGAGATGACAAAACGGATCATTTTGTCTTTTAAAGCACAATCTTGGTGACAAATAGCTAGCTATAGGACATAGATATTATGTAGAATACCAAATATCAGCCCAAATGACCATCCATGAAGATGTAACAGCATGTACTGGGGTTTTAAGTGGATAATGCAATGCTGAAAAATACTACTTTGCATTTATTTTAGATACAATAAAATATTATTAAATCTGATTAATATGAAATATTTATTATAAATGCAAATTGCTTTTCTGCTGGGCATTTCACTTTTAAATGCATGATACATATTTAATGCTCAATAGATCCACGGACCTGCTGCGTTTTTAAAACTTGACTGAAGAAGTGGGAAAAGCTGTTGTGACAGTAATTTCACCAAATTACACAAACTCGCGTATTTATCACGAGGTTGAATCCAGTTATTCATTAGTCAGCAACTTAATGATGCTTTTCTGTTTTATCATGAATAACTGGCCGCTTCCATAACACGTTGTTCCCATAACAGAGATGTATGCGCTGTTTCTCTTGCATTTTCAAAGGCTCATAAAAATGTGTCTTGGCTTGATACACAGTCTAATGTTCTAACTCTAACGAAATCCAAATTTTAAACATTTTACTGAAACAATATTATGGGCCTTGCACTTCCTATTTGAGCCAATGCAGATGAATGAGCAAAGTTATTCCAGGGCAAGACCACCCTGATTGTATAGGCTAACGTGATTGGTTGTAGCGAGAACGTGCTACGATTGGTCAGCTTAATGTGGCCGTTCTCTGATTGGCTTGAGGAAACGGTGGGTGGAGTCCACTTATTTGTGGATTTGTTTGGACGTCGACGCTAGAAGCGATTTCAAAATCCACAGATGCGTGAGGGGATTTACAACTGCACAGGAACCGATTCACAAATAAATGCCAGACAGAGTTGTGTTTGTGATATAAAACACATTCGTAATTTTTTTATATGTGCAAATCTCATTTGATTTATTTTTGAGTTTTATATTTTTTTGTGAATCTCTTTACATTTGTTTGTGAATCTCAATTATTTATTTGGAATAATGCAACAATTCTAACCCCATGTGCCTTTGTTTTCAGGGAAAAGAAAAGGGGTTTCGACTTCCACCTCAGCAGAAAAGATGAATATTGATTTTTGATTTAGTCCTTCAGTCACAATTCTTTGCTTATACTCGTCCGCAAACCAATAAACCAGTCAGGATGTCAGAGTTAAAGACACACACTGCAGTTTAAAACCACAGCCGGATTAATTGTGAAGAAAAAGTTGCTTTGTAGATTTTTGCCTTATTTGGATGATTGCACAAAAAAATGGTTTCCATTTGTCTATTTTTCTTTGTTTTAAATAGGTTTCTGCACAAACTCCTGACCATAATTATGAAACTTTAACATGTAACTCGTTTGTGCTACAGACAAAAATAATGACATGAACTCAAATTTTGCGTCCAATCTTGGCCCTAGCAACCATCCAGTCCACCTTAGCAACACCCTAGCAACCACGCACCACACATTAGCAGCTGCATTGCAATGCTTTGTATATCCCAACACTCTAGCAACCAACAGAACACCCTAACAATGGCATTATAACACGTTATATATCCCAACACAACCTATCAAACCCTAGCAACGCCCAAGCAATCACCCAGAACACCGTAGCAACAAGTTCTAGTACTTCTGTTATGTGCTTGTGTCTTGTCAACATGCCGAAGAGAACATTTCACAATGCCCTATTAACCACGCTAAACCCAGAGCAAACCCGATTTATATCCCAACAAACTATTGAACACCTAGCAACCACCCAGAACACCAGGTGTTTTCATATTATTTATATACTATTATTTGTATTGATTAATATTTTGACTAAGCTTTTTTCTATGTTTTTAATAGTTTTAGTTAACAAAAACACCCTAGCAACCAATCAGACCTGACAGCATCATTGGATTGAGTTTCTTATGAGCAAACACCACTCATGTTTTCTTCAGAACATGAAAACATCTAATTTCTCTCCATCTCTCTCTCTCTCAGGTGTGACCGCTGTTATGATACCGCGGTTAGACCTGGTGATCTCATTGGTCGGCGCGGTGAGCAGCTCAGCGTTGGCGCTCATCTTTCCTCCGCTGGTGGAGCTCATGGCGTTTCCCAGTCAACCCCCTCCTCCTCTCCTCCTCCTCAAAGATCTCTCCATCGCCACCCTCGGCTTCATCGGCTTCCTGGCTGGAACCTACGTGACGATGGAGGAGATTATTTATCCCGACGACCAAGGACAGACCCATCTCCGTGACCATGGGAACTGGACCACACCCACTACCTCACCGCCCTGAGGACCACGCCCACAAATGAAGGACCAATCAATGAAGGCACAGTTCCACTGTTAACACTGTGACGGCACAGACACTTCATAGTGGCTTTGGGATCAGAACTGTATTTTATAGCTCAATTTGTTTGTCATTCCACAGGCACATGCCCGAGGTGTGCTGCTGTAGTGTGTGTGTGTGTGTGTGTGTGTGTGTGTGTGTGTGTGTGTGTGTGTGTGTGAGTGATGGCGTGCGTAGGAAATATTTTCTCCGTACAGCCTTCCATGACTCCACCCTGTTCTGGAATGGCTTTTACTCGATCAGGTCGGTGGACCGTACAGCATGTCAGCATATAACACAGCGGGAGAGAAATATTGCACACTGTAAAGAATGTACGTTCTCGCTGACTAGAGGTATTATTAATAAACTAATCCTTTCTCCTGAGGCTTGTGATATTTAATTATTTTTATTCTTTTTTTTTGACTGCAGCAATATTCAGTGGGAATTATAAGTCTTAATTAACGACAAACATTGTCATTTTTTTATGTATTGCAAGCGATTAAACTGAGTAAAAATTGATTGTCACCAAGAATCCTCTTGGCATTTACCGTTTATCAGCATGACTGTTGGTTATGAAATAAATGTTTATTTCTATTTTATTTTCAGTTTTTTATTTATATTCTATCAATTAATTTTTCAGTTTAATTTTTATTGTAGGTTTAATATTTCGTTAACTGCTAAAAGTAATAAAACCTAACTGGTGTTACTAAAAATGCAGCCAGCACACACTAGTGTTATAGAGCGCAACAGTCGGGTTCCGGAAGGAAAACATTTATTTTCTCCATAAGGAAATTGATTTTGGGTTATAAACCTTATACACCTTTAAAGACAGACCTACTGTGAGCTACGTGGTTGTTAATCAATGGTATTTGCTTCTGTTGAAGCCGTCAGCCTGTTATTTCAGCTTATTTTTAAAACAATCGTGTTTAACAGTGGAATTCCTGGTGAAAAACTACATTACCCATGATACTGTGCAGAAAATTACACCAATCAGAAAGCTAAAAAAAAACTCTTTAGCTCCGCCCACTCCCATGAAGCACTGCGAATGACGTGATTGTTCTACACTCTAAAAACACTTAAATGTTTGTATATGCATATTTTGCAGTAAATTTTAAATGTTTTATATATATATATATATATAAATCAACATTTGTAAATGAGTAGTTTTATATTTCTCCATTTTATTTTTCTGTTCGCAATGCTTCATGGGTTTGTAGTTCTTTCCCTCACTAACACCGTTAAGTACACAGTCTTGAACATTGTCTTTTTGTGATGAAAGAAAAGGGTGTGTGAAAAGCCCTTATATGGACATGGATTGGGGCGTGTTTTATGTAAATTAGAAAAATTATTACTTATTTGGGTACGTGGTCGCGCATTTAGAGTTCATCAACATTAGAAAGAGGTTAAGAACAAATTCATGTGCGTACAAATGTGTTGCGAATTAAGCGAAACGTTTTTATGAGTTCAAATGTACGTATAAATATGAATAGTGTACGCAATTATTAGTGAATGAAACCCATTGTGCTTGGTAAGTTATTCATCTTCAACCCAAACTTGGGTCTTCACCCGACAAAGTTTAAATCTCGTCTGGCTAGTGCACTTCCCATGTTTACGCATTAGGTCAGTAGGCGGAGAGTAGGCGGTCTTTTGTTGTTGTTTGAACACATCCGACCACATGAACGTTTCCACTACGAAAGCCATCCGGTCGAATGCGGTTTGGACTACCTCTGGAAGTGGTCGAAAGTGGAAAAGCTTATCGTTTTAGACCCTGTTTACACCTGCATTTTGCGTCATCTACTTGTCCGGACGACCAAAACGCATCTTAATACCAGATGTAAATGGGGCCAAAATGTTTTGTGGCTATACTTTCGGAACGGTGTAATGTTTACATTTATTCAAGTGCAGTGAAAATGTCAGTATATTACTGTAAAAGGAATTTTTCCTTTTACAAATTGAGGGATGAGTCCATTTTCTGTAGTACTATTAAAAATAGACCCAATTTTGAATTGAACCTGTCCACATTCATGCAACCCAGTTTACTTCCACTTATATTGTTAAAGCTCTTCAAAAGCGGAGGAAAGTTCTTCTTGCCATATTTCCAAGTGAAACAGGATAATCACCGAGGATAAATCTAAGGCAGTAGTTGATTTGAACCATCAGGAATAGATTGGATCGTAAAAAATGAGCGTTTATTCGGAGGGGAGGGGTTGAAAAAAGAAGAGGTTGGTGATGCCAGCCAAAAGGAAATTAATTTCAATGTCAGAGGAAGTTATTAGATTTTGACCAAAGGTTATAAAGAAAATACATTTTACTCTTCGGACTAATGTGCTCTGATGAATCGCTCACAATATGACCCGGAACGTGTATTAAAAATGTAAATCGGGTCCATAAGAACAATGGCTTTAAATGAATCATGCGATGTATTCAGAAAGATTCAAGCTTCCTTAAATGCCAGCGTGAATTCATTAAATTGCCCATTGTCCATATCATAAGGAGACAGAATTGAAATATGTCACGTTTAATAAGGTTACTTTATATAGAAATACAGATCAGTTCCTTCACCTGAGGTCTAGACGTTCCCTCCTATTTGTGATTAATTAAATAGATCTGGAAAATCAAAGTGACACCATCAGCCCTTTCTTACTATCTCTTGGCCTCGCTCTCTCTCTCTCTTTCTCTCTCTCTCAGGCTTTGGCTCATTAGTCGGGACTTGTTTATATTCTTCTCATGTTTTCTCCTCTCTGCTGAAAGCTGGACACCTGACAACTGGCACGCGACAGAGAGAGAGAGAGAGAGAGACTGATAGAATATGAAAAGCGAGGGGCAAAACGCTCGGATCAGAGAGAGATGGAGCAAATTAGAAGCTGAAAAATAGAGGGAGACGGAGAGCAGAGCGAGCGAGGCGTAGAGGGAGGGAGGAAGAAAGGACAGGGGGGATTTTGCACGAGATCTCCAAGTGCGTGAGGGGAGTCTGTCTGGCACGTGAGGACAAAAATAGACTTCTCCGAGCTAAATATAGTGCAGATCACAGAACGAGCGAGATGGAGTGAGCAAGAAAGGACTCGCCCGCTCTTTTGGAAATGATTTCTGAAGGAGTGCACCCTCCTCCATCCACCGGCTCCTTTTCGGGAAATCTATTTTTGACGCGCATGAAATTTAACATCCATCATTCAAATGAGAGCAGTAAGACTCGCTTTAAAAACGTGCATTATTCAGGGGGAGGGCTCTCAACGTGATGCGTATTTTTAGGCGCAGCCTACGAAAAGGTATATTTAGAGTTTCTTTCTTTCGTCGATCTGACACGTTTGGGGTATTTGTCACGTATGCGTTCGTCTGTAAGGCCAGAAACACGAACACTTGACTAAAGAATTGCACGAGCGCTCGTCCCCATGAACACAGATCAAGTGAAGGAAGAGCAAAAAATAACAGACACACATTTAGAATTTGGACGTGCACCAATAAATCATTCACAAAATTATTTAACACTAGTCTGGTGTTAACAGGCATACTCTGCACAGGTCAAGTCTTCTGGCTATACATTGCGCTGTAATTGTTTTTACATTTATTCCAATGCAAATGTGCATTACTGTAATTGCAATTTTTGGCTTTTGCAAATTGAAGGTTGATTTTCTGTAGGATCTACTAGAACTACTGAACTGAACTCTTCCTTTATTGTCACCACATCTGTGCAACCCAGTTTGCTTATATTGTTAAATCGCATACACTACCGTTCAAACGTTTTTGGGGTGGGTAAGATTCCTTAACATTTCTTATTATTATCAATATTAAAAACAGTGGAAAAACTGTGGAAACCGTGATACTTTTTTCAGGATTCTTAGAAAGTTCAAAAGAACAGCATTTATATGAAATAGAAATCCTGTGTAACTTTAATAAATGTCTTTACGGTTACTTTTAATATACACATTTAATACATATTTCCTGAAAAAAAGTATTAATTTCTTTAAAATAAATTGAATGACCCTAAACCGGTGGGGACTTAAACCTGAATGCACACAGACTCATGGGGACTCGTGTCACTGTGGGGACCTAAATTGAGGTCCCCATGGGTAAACACGCTTATAAATCATACAGATTTTTTTTGAAAATGTAAAAATGCAGAATGTTTCCTGTGATGGGTAGGGTTAGGGGTAGGGTTAGTGTAAGGCAGTGGTTCTCAACTCCAGTCCTCGGGACCCGCTGCTCTGCACATTTTGTATGTCTCTCTTATCTGACACACTCAGTTCAGTTCATATAGTCTATCCTAACGAGCTGAGGATCTGAATCAGGTGTGTTAAATAAGGGAGACATACACAATATGCAGAGCAGTGGGTCCCGAGGACTGGAGTTGAGAACCACTGGTATAAGGGGACAGAATATACAGTTTGTACAGTATAAAAACCATTACGTCTATGGAGAGTCCTCACAAAGATAGTAAACCAGACATGTGTGTGTGTGTGTGTGTGTACAGATGAGTCAAAACATTATGAACACCTGCCTAATATGCTGTTGGTCCTCCGTGTGCTGCCAAAACAGCGCCGACCCGCCGTGGCATGAACTCTACAAGAGCTCTGAAGGTGTCCTGTGGTCTCTGGCACAAAAGACATTCTCCTTCAAGTCCTGTAGGTTGTGAGGTGGAGCCACCATGGATCGAACTTGTTGGTCCAGCACATCCCACAGATGCTCAATTGGATTGAGATCTGGGATATTTGGAGGCCAGGGCAACACCTTGAACTCTTCATCATGTTATTCACACCATTCCTGAACAATGTGTGCAGTGTGGGAAGGTGCATTATCCTGCTGAAACCGGCCACTTCCACCAGGGAACTCCACAGTTATGAAGGGGTGTACCTGTAGGTGGCACGTGCCAAATTTACATCCACATGAATGGCCCGACCAGGGTTTCCCAGCAGAACATTGACCAGAGCATCACAATCCCTCCAACGGTTTGTCATTGTCCCACAGTGCGTCCTTGTGCGTCATTTACCTGGGGAAGTGATAGCACATGTACACGGCCGTCCATGTGACGTAAAAGAAAACATGACTCATCAGACTGGAC